TATTTACTACGAAGGACATAACTCCACATCATCCCAATACTTCTGTTAAAATAGGGACTGAGCATTTATGCATTACCATCTCATCCTACACCTCATCTGAGTTTTGACAAAAGTCCTTTTGGTGAAATGTACTTTTTAGCAAAAGGTTCTAGCTCAGAATCACATGTTGCCATTAACTGCCAAATCCCTCTCTTCTCCTTCACTCTGAAAACTTTTAATTTCTCCTAATTTTTATGACGCTGATGCTTGTGAAAGTCCCAGGAGAGTTATGTTGTAATATGATTTGATTCAGAGTGGACATCTTTGGCAGGAATGCCAGAGGTAATTGTGTTCTCATTGCATCTTATCAGATGGCACACAATTTTTATTTCTCTCTTTACTGATACTTTTCACTTTGATCATTTTATTAAAGTACTATCTGGCAGCCTTCTCCACTGTAAAGCTATTCTTTTTCCCTTTTATTAGTAAGAATTTTGTGTGAAGTTACTTTGAAAATATATAATAGTCTGTGCCTTATCAAACTTTTAATTGATTCATTTAATTAATTTATACAGTATGTACTCATGAATGCCAATATTATTCAAATGCTATTATTCATTGGATACTAATGAATACTAGTCTATTAGTATTATTATTTATTTTGCCCAGATGTGTCTAGTGGGCTTCGCTTTCTGGGCTCCCGTTTCCTTTTGACATGACCCATCGTTCTCTGAGTACTTCATGCTTCCTGGCGCAAGATGTTCCAGGCTTGTCTTATACTCGCACCACCCCAGCCCCCAAATCAGCCATTTCTGCAACAAGTCTCAGTCACTCTTAGTAAAAAATAGTATTTTGAATTAAGATTTGAGTGCTAAGTTTGCTTATTACTATTGGGAAACCACTGCTCCGTCTCAGTGGACAGAGCTAAGAATACATGTATGCATATTCATACACACACACACACACAACATACAAGGTGTAATAAAAAGTATGGTGAAAGTATACATGTAAAAAATGTATTACAGTAAAAGACACATTGCCATTAATCTCCTGCAAAATAGCCCCCCTCGCTTCAAACACACTTATCCCATCATTCTTGCCACTTTCGGAAGCAGTTCTGGAAGTCCTCTTTTGTGAGTGTCTTTTGTTGCACTGTCGTGGCTGCCTCAATGTCCTGAATCGATTCAAAATGTTTACCTTTCATGGTCATTTTGACTTTGGGGAAGGGCCAGAAGTTGGACGGTGCCAGATCAGGTGAATAAGGTGGATGAGGACACACCGTACTGTTTTATTTGATAGAAATTGCTGTACCAGAAGCGATGTGTGACACAGAGCGTTGTCACGATGGAGGATGAAGTAAAGACACTCATGAAAGAGGACTTTTAGAACTGCTTCAGAAAGCGGCAAGAACAATGGGATAAGAGTGTTCAAAGCGAGGGGTAGTATTTTGGGGGCGATTAATGGCAATGTGTCTTTTACTGTAATAAATGTTTTATTTAAACATTCACCGTATTGTTTGATCACACTATACACATACACACACACATTTATATACATATAATTTTACATATTATGTACATAATGTGTATAATACATATGTATATAAATATATGTCATATGCATAATACATATATTAACACATATACACATTTATATCTATATATCTATTTATATAGATGTAAATATAAGAGTGAGATAGATGTTTGAAGTCATGAATTCACACTAAGGCTGCAAATTACAATCTAACACCACAAGGTTCATTCTAGTTGGCCTCCTTTATTTTCTTCTTTTCTAGTGAAAAACCTGTATCCTATTATCCTTACTAGCTTTATTTAATTGCCCATGCCCCCTCTACATAACTAATCTCCCATTGCCGCTGCCATACCTGACCCTAAACATGTCTTCCTCACTCAGGCTCCAACACCCTGCGCTGTCCACCCTCCTGCATGCTTTACCTTCATGCCCTGATCAGCATTAGACACCACATGTCAGGCTGCCCATGCACAGAAGTCCTTGCCACTCTGCTGAGCTCTGAAGCCCAGCACCAGACCAGTCCTCTGCAGGAGTGCTCACCTCACTGTGCTTAGGCTCTAACACTACAACAGAGCCACTCTCCTACCTGGACACCATCCTGACCTGGCTTAGCTTCTAATTCCCTGACCTGGGCCCCTCTGGCTTCCACCCTCCAGCAAAGGAGGATACTTCCCTGCCAGTTGACCCACTTCCTGGCTATAAGACCCATTCTGCAAAGGAAAGGAAAAGGGACGAGAGGTGGGGACAGAAGACCAGGAAGAGGAGGAGACAGCTGAACCAATTCTTTAAAAATATTTACATAATGTAATTTTAAATATGATGATAGATTTACGGTCAAAATTTTGGTGTATCCAATCCAACCCTATTAAAGATAGGCTTATAGTTAACCTGTTCCTTTTACCTTGAAAGATAAAAGCTGCTCAAGTTCTACTTAGATATAGACTAACACAATATCAGATACATCTTGGTGCTCCAATAATATTTATTCCAATAAATACTTATTACTAGGCAGTTGCTCTGGGGTGGAGAGGTGGGGCATATAGAAAGGAAGGGAGTTGATCAAGGAAGCATATAGGCCATGTAACTCTAGAAGTTAAAAATGATGATTTCAAATGACTCCCCTGCAAACATTTTTCAAAAGCTAATCATGACCCTTTCTTGCAATTTGTTCCACGTAATAGTAAAAACAATGATGTTTGAATATTCCCATTTAGGTTATATCTCTCCTTACAAAGATATTTTACTTTCCTTATTGAACTGAAACTGCCTGAAAGAGCTAAGGTGAGTCCTGTGCCTGCGGTTATTCCGGGACTCACACTGTGTCAGCATGTCCTTCAGCTCAAATCAAGCATTTAGATTCACAACTGTGCTCTTTGTCAGTGGTTCCAAACTTTCATAGACATAGCCAATTATCTCAGAGACAACTGGGTATTGTGTTTAAGAAGACAGGCTTAGGAGCTAGATTGAACAAGGCTAAATTTCCTGTTCTACTGCTTAATTAATTATGTGTACTTGGGTGATTATTTAACCTCCCTAAATTCCAATTTCTTCATCTCAAAGTCAGGATCAATAAGAGTTAACCCATAGGGCTATAAACCACATAATGCCATGCCTATGCAATGCACATAGTTGTTATATAGTAAATATGAAAATTTATATCCATTTTTATTAAAATCTGGTCAGAAGCCTCAGGTTTATAGAACACCTATATCTAAGTAGTTTGAAGCATCTAGATAAAAAAATAGCAGTAAACTTCACAATATCCTTTAGCAAAGAGGAAACTGAGTCTCACAGAGATCAATACAGAATCTGTAAAACAAGATGAGGTTGCCTGACAATTTTTAATTCTCCCTTAAAACTGGATGCTAACTTCATGCCTTTTATATGGCACATTATCCCTTATTAAGTGACGCTAATAGGACAGGTCTACACTACATACCTGTACATACACAGACATTTGCCATATATACATACACCATCCAATTTCATTACAACTTTGTTACTTTAATCCACTTTCATTTGTTTCCTACTTTTTTCTCTCTAAAAGTCTACTCTGAATGTCAGTTTGAACCTGACTCTCTGATGCCAACAGAAGAAACATCTACTGAACAATGCATTCTCTAGGCCATCTCATTTTAAAGTACTGGTTTTCAACCTGCATAGGATCACAAGATTAAAATCTCAGGGGATTTAAAAAAACTCTTGATGTCCAGGCTGAATCCCAGGCCAGCTGAATCAAAAGTTTCGAGGGCAGGATCCAGGTGGCATTTTTAACCTCCCTAGTAATTCTAGCATACAACCAAGTCGAGAACCAGAGTTCTAGGACTAACCCAGAATGCGCTGGTCCTTGGAACTGCAGTATTTTGGGGTGAAGAATGGGTGAGTCCGGGATGGGAGAATGAAGGATAGTCTGAAGCAGGGGAATGTGCTGGACGAGTCCTGTAAGAGGTGCGAATGAAAGAGATGTGGAGCAAGGAAATTAGAAACGGAAGCAACCCAAAATGTTCTGTCCAAGTTGTGAACAACAAGGCCTTTTAAAGGACATTTATTTAAAAAAAACAAATGATCATATCCTTTGATTATCTTTTATAGGATATTAAGAAAAATCCACATGCTCTAAACTCATAAAAATGAATTCCTATGAAAAGCTGAAAACCTTGTGTAGAATAATATCCCAATTTCAGTTAACTGATGGGCAGTATTGCCAACTTGTGAGGCAGTCTGCTATCCTAAATGTCTGCTACTAACACAGAAATTCATAACACAGGAACGTGTATTAGAAAGTAGGTTAGATGAAATACTTCCAACATAAAAAGTAATTATAAACACGTGAAGCTAAAATGGCAAATTTAGTGTTGGTTTTGATAATGTTTTGCACATAAATACCTCTTTCAAAGTGTCTTTACCAAAACAACCACCACAAAAAACTTCATTGTCAAAGACCATGGTGTAAAAAGTTACACAATCCAATGGGTTGTGGGCTTTGTTGTTGTTACGTTGTTGTTTCACATCCTCAAAGCCAACCTACCCGCCAGGAAGAAGAGTAGGTGATATTTAAGCCTTATCATCAATTCAAATGAAGGGTGCTGGCCTTGGAGAATGTGGCTTTCAGAACACTACCACTTCGCAGAGGCCCTTCGCTGCCTGCGCCCGCCCGCCCGCACACACCCTACCGCTCCCTTCTCAGGAACCCTGACACTGCCGTACAACCAGCGCCCCCGATTCCCGGCCAGAGTTGTTTCCAAAATCACTAGCCGGGGCAGAAGAACCCGAGCCGCCGCAGCCCTGTCTTCCAGCTTCGATAACGCAAGCGTGGACAATGGGAGGAGGCGACCGCAGGTCTCCACCTGTCGTCGCCAGCATCTCGCGCCTCTCCCCAACACCCCCTGCCTGGGTGCGCCGGGCAGCCCCTGGGTTCGCAAGGACGAACCTCCCGCGACCCTTCCCGCGCGCCCTCCATCTCCTCCTCCGCCCCGCACCCATCACACCTGGGGGATGGCCGTCCGCCAAGCTCGGGCGCGCCGCGGCCAGGAGGCACAGGAGGAGCAGCAGCAGGGGCGGAGGCGTCCGAGGTCCCCGCAGGCCAGGGAAGGCGCGCATGGTTGTCGGTGAGTCCACCGCGATCCTCACCAAGGCGGGTCCCTCGGCAAACCAGCGTCGGTCCCTAGAGTCCCTGCGCACACTCGCTGGTGGCCTGGCGCCCGACGCCAGTTCCAGGGACTCGATATGCGAGAAAAAGCGAAGTAGGAGGGGCCAGGTGGCCCTGCCCTCCTCCCTGGAGACGCTCTCACCGCGTCCGGGGCGGACCTGGAACTGCGCCCGGTCCCCCATCAATTATGCAGCGCGCTGTCCGCTGCAGGCGCGCCTGGATGTACTGTGGCCACATCCAAGCCACATCCTCTCCATCCTCCGTTATCTGGGCTGTGCAGGCCTGAGAGGGAGCCTGCTAAAGATGCGGGACAGTTGATGTCCAGCTGACCTCCTGGGGGTGAGGTTGAGACTATACGTTATTTATATATATATATAATGATACAATGTTTATATGTCTGCAGATTATCCTTTACAGTTCATTTGAACCAGAGTTCAGTTATTTACTTTGATGGAACAAATGAGAGGGAACACTCTTCTCCCCCCCTTCCCCCTTCATCCCTGGGTTATAGAGGAGACAAGGTTACACTGCATTCTGGACTTGTCTTTCTTTGTGCTGTATACCAAGTACCAGTTGCACACACCGTCCTTTCCGGTCTCTGAAGGCTTAACTGGTTCTCACCACATTAAGGCTTCATAGTCCCAAGGCCCTACGATTTGTCTATTTTTCTTCTTTTGTTTGTTTTAGCCTAACAGGTTTTGAGGAACTGCCGAGAGCTCAAGAAACAAAACCTACCGAATACAGCTACTATGTAAAAAACTTGCACAAACCTGTTGAACTAAGTCGAACTTAAACACTGTTTACAATGCTGTTCCTTACCCAGCGAGGCTGTAGCTTGGAATATTAAGTGTTCTTGACCGAATAAAATAAAACAACTAAAAGCTATTGCTTTATCAGAGCAGGGAAGAAGAATCTCCATTATTACAAAAGAGTAAGCTCTGATGATTCCCCAGGAAGTTATAACACTTTATAAGGTGTTTGTTTTGTTTCTGAGTATTTATCCTGAGCCTTGTTTTCTTTCTCTTTGTTTTTTGAACATTAGGTTCAATATTCATAAATTCAAAATATATCTGTGTCCCAAAAAAGAGGGTTGAAAGAAAATGTTACATACAAATTTTTAAAATTGAACAGCTACACAAGATGTATGCTTACTTCGGGCAGGAATGGTAAATTTTTAATTGGTATGTGTTACTAAGATGTTCTATTTCTGATTCAATATTATATAGGCAAAACTGTGGAAAAGTGTGTAGATTATTTCCATCAGTGTTGTGAGACTATGAGTGATATAACGCATTAACCAATATTAAATATCTACCAAGTTCCAGGCACTATGTTCAAAATAGGCTGCATGTACTGCAAGGAACACACACACACACACACACACACACAGAGAGAGAGAGTAATTAATCTAGAGAGCTCTTTATATATAACTGTAAATCTTAAGAAAAGTCTCCTCTTCTTAGTGAGAAAACTATGGTTATAATTATTAAGCCTTTCTGAGCAAAGAATTATGAGACCCTGAAAAACTAAACATTTTACCTGACGGCCTTCTCAGGACTTTGGCCCAACTTGCTAAACCCAAATTGCCTGATCATTGGTTGCTGAATCACACCTGTTTGCCTCCCTGCATCCTGTCACGAGCTAACTCCAAACATTTCCCAGTGCCTTCAGAGAATCTTAATGGTAAGCACTTTTCAAAACAAACTGAACTCTGACGGACCTTCCCCAAGTAGTCCTACCTGATCTTTAATCTCAAATTTGTCTGTCTTCCAATAAGCTGATCAAATTATCTTTCCAGTTGAATTTGCCTGTGTATGAACAGGAAAAAAATGAGTTGCCCAAGTTGAGGCTAATTCCCACTGTCACTTTTGTTGTTAGAGCACAAGTTAAGAAATATAATTCTTGTGTCACTGAGCATCTTGAAAATCTTTTTCCTGTTGTTACTATTTATATTTAGTTTTATCCCCATTCTATTTGTTTCAAATGCTCCACATCCTTTCAAACCAGTTTATATAATAACTTCCCTGTATGGCTTTTTCTGACCTTTCCCTTCATGGTGAATTAAATATAGTCACAAATGCTTTGACGCCATATCAATTCACCTCATGCTGCGGAAGGAGGGTCTTGTGTTTCTTCTCCTCAGGCTGGTTGGACTCTGTGACCTACTGAATGTTGCTGACGCAACACTCTGAGTTTCATGATCCAGACCACAAGAGCACCCACTTCCTTTCCCCTCACTCTTACGAGATAGCTGCCAGTAAAGAAGTATGACTACCATGCCATGAGAAGCCCAAACCACATAGAGGACGCAGAATACTGAGATCCCACGTGGAAAGAGCAGCCTACTGCTACTTGGAGCCTTTAGACAAGGCCAGGCCCTAGCTGAGCACCTCTTGATGCTCCTTGGAGCAGAACGATTGCCTGGCTGAGCCCTGCCTGAGCTCTTGATGCAGTCAATTGTGAGGTGTAATAACACTGTTGTTGTTTTAAGCCACTAAATGTTGGGGTAGTTTGAGTCACCACAATAAATAACCCAAACACTCTCCTCTGAACTTATACAGTCCCTGGGATTAATTTGGCAATTAATAATTTACAGACTTGTGACTTGGCCTTCATTCCTAGCTTGAATTTCTATTTAAATATTTTATTGGTATTCAACTTGTTATGTGATTCCATCTTCTTTCCCAACTACATTATAACTCTTTTCAGTACCTGGAAATGGTTCTATAACTCTTTATATTTCCTACAGTGTCTTAAAATAGTACTTTTAGTGTACTCTGATTTTACTTATTAGAAAATTAGTATATGAAAAATGTTTCTTTTTTTATAAACTCATGTTTATAAAATAATGCGATATATATATTTTTCTCTTAGGCTGTAAGCTGTCATTGAGTGAAAAGTGTGGCAGAGTCCTGGGAAGATGTGAAAGTGAGAATGTGGATATAGGTTACCGCTTATTGAAAATATTTAAAAATATATATATATACACACACACACACACACACACATATATATATATATGAGAAAAGCATTATATCAGACTGTAATATGTAAAGTACTAAAAATAAAGGCACACATTTGCTACTGATGATTACTAGAAAATAAACAAAAACCAAAAGTACAAACACACGTCATAGGTTATGGTACGCAAAATTCTGCAATGTCCCCCAAGATTCCTGCCCCCCCCTGGTTGCATGCCTTGGCTGCCCTTGAATGTGGGCAGGCTTGTGAGTACGATGGGGTAGTCTCTGCCTTGATTAGATTACATTTGATAAGACTCCATTTTAGCAGGCTGCAGGGAAACATTCCCAGTGAGAAAGATGCCCTCATGCTTGTCTGGAAGGCACAAACAGTCACATTGTGAACTGACTGCCTGTGGAAAGAAACAACCTCCAGGAGCTGAGCATGTCAGTCCTACAACCACAAGGAATTGAATTCTGCCAACAACAAGTGAGCTTGGAAGAAGCCCCGAAGCCTCATAGGAGATTGCTGCCCCAGCTAATACCTTGATTGCAGCCTGGTGAGACCTGAAGCGAGGACCCAGAACTTCTGACCCACGGAATCTGTGAGATAATAAATTTGTGTTGAACAACTAAGTTTGTGGGAATTTGTTATGTAGCAATAGAAAAGTAATACAGGGGGGCACATCATATGTGATTCTAGTCACACTATGAGAAAATAATTATATACTTGAACAAGATAATGAGTGAATATGGAAGGAAAAAGAAGAAAGTACTCTAGTCGCCTCTGGATACTAAGATGAATGGAAGAAAAGTTACAGAGCTATTCGGAAGGTTGTATCATTTCTAAATTGGAACCTGTGACCAGTCTTTTGCTCTCCTCTGGCAGGAAGGAGAAAAAAATATATGTATATGTGTGTACATGTGTATTTACATCATGTACATGTATATGCATACATATATAGTGTGTATATGAGGTTTGACAATTAAGTTTGCAAACGATGTTGCTAACCTTTTTTGATATCAGAGGAATTATTCATTATGAATTTGTACCAACTGGACAAACAGTTAACCAAGTTTACTATTTGGAAGTGCTGAAAAGGCTGTGTGAAAAAATTAGACGACCTAAATTTTCGCCAACTATTCATGGCTCTTGCATCACAACAATGCACCAGTTCACACAGCACTGTCTGTGAGGGAGTTTTTAGCCAGTAAACAAATAGCTATTGGAACACCCTCCATACTCACCTGATTTGGACTCCAATGACTTCTTTCTTTACCAGAAGGGAAAATAAATATTGAAAGGAAAACATTTTGATGACATTCAGGACATCAAGAGTAATATGATCACAGCTCTGATGGCCATTCCAGAAAAAGAGTTCCAAAATTGCTTGGGAGGGTGGACTAGGCACTGGCATAATTGCATAGCTTCCCAAGGGGAGTACTTCAAAAGTGACCTTAGTGATATTCAGCAATAAGGTATGTAACACTTTTTCTAGGATGAGTTCGCGAACTTAATTGTTAGACCGTGTATTGTTTTGCTCTTTTCCATTTATAAACAATTCAAAACTTAATATTATTCTGCATTTCTTTAGTGGTCCATACAAAAGTATACATGGTGACTATAATCTTAGAAATAATATTTCTTCATCAAAAGATATTTGTATTTTAAACTTTCGTAGATATCGACCCACTGCTTTCCTATTAAGTTGCATTCGTCTACATTGTAACCAACAGTGAGCAGACCTGTGTCCCTACTAATGCCACCTAGTCAAATTCTTGATCTTTGTTAATCTGACAGTTGAAAAATGGCATCCTTTTACAGTTTAATTGTGTTTTTTATTATAAATCAGGGTAAGCATTTTTTTATATGTTAGAATGTGATATACAAATGTTGCAAACAACAAAATCCAGTCTGACTAGTTTAGCCAAAAAAAAAACAAAAAAAACTCTTAAAAGATTATTGGGTAATACAGGACTTGGGATTGTTAAATAAACAGACTCAAGGATAAACTTCCAGGAACACCAAAAAGCATACAATAAACTGGCCTGATATGGATAACATTGATGCTTCCTCCATTAAACATGAAATGCCAGGGACACAGCGCCCCACGCCCACCACTGCCTCTATCCCTGATGCTG